GGGGCCGCTTGCGAGCCGCGGGACCTTCCAGAAGTCGCTCTGGATGAAAGCCTGGCCATGGGGAGAAGAGGAAGATCCACGGGGGCACACGTCCCGAGTAAAGCAAGCGACGAGCGAAGGGGAGAGTGAGAAGGAGCGGACCTCCTCAGAAGGCTCGGAAGTCCCCGGCCTTCTGAGAAGTTTCCTGGGCCTTCCCCTTTGGACAACCGACATGGGTACCGAAAAAATGGGTACGATGCCCAACAGCAAATGTTGTCCCGAGCCAACAGCGGCCGCTTTTGGGCAGGCGGCCTTCTGTCTCAAATGAACAAAAGCCGCGGCGGCGTGGACAGCGAATCCTGCTCAAAACGAACAGGAACTGCTGTTGGGCATCGTACCCATTCTTTCCGTGCCCATGTCGGGCGTCCAGATCCCCGAAGGCACAGAGAAAACTCCTCGAAGGCCGGGGGGCTTCTGAAAAGCCCCGCTGCCTTCTGAGAGGGCCTTCTCCTTCGCACTTCCCCCCCTCGCTCGCCGCCGAGTCGTCGTCGTCGTCGTCGTCGTTCCCCCGCGCGCGCGCGCGGGTGGGGCGTGATTTCGCCGAGAGGATCCCCCTCTGGGCGCGCCGCCCGACATCGATCAAAATCGCTCCGCGGACCACTCCCGGGGCCCCAGATCGAGTTTCGGCGGTCCCGGGGCCCGAACCCCAGAGGCCGACAACCAGGGATTGATTGCAATAGGACTCCTATTGTGGGCTTGAACTGGCCCTCATCCTTCTTCTCCTCCTCCTCCTCCTCCTCCTCCTCCTCCTCCTCCTCCTCCTCCTCCTCCTCGTTCTCTTTTTCCTCCTCGTGTTTCTCCTAATCCTCTTCCTCCTCCTCATCCTCCTTCTCCTTCTCCTCCTGCTCCTGGCGCATCCGCATCATCATCATCATCATCATCATCATCATCATCATCATCATCATCATCATCATCATCATCATCATCATCATCATCATCATCATCATCATCATCATCATCATCATCAGCATCATCATCAGCATCATCATCATCATCATCATCAGCAGCATCATCATCAGCATCAGCATCAGCATCAGCATCATCATCATCATCATCATCATCATCATCATCATCATCATCATCATCATCATCATCATCATCATCGTCGTCAGCAGCATCATCATCAGCAGTATCAGCATCATCAAAAGCATCAGCATCCGCATCAGCATCATCATCATCATCAGCAGCAGCATCATCATCACCATCATCATCATAAGCATAATCGGCATCACCATCATCATCATCATCATCATCATCATCATCATCATCATCATCCTCATCCTCATCCCCATCACCATCATCATCAGCTTCGTCATCGTCGTCATCATACTCATCATCAGAATCGTCATCATCATCAGCCACATTATCATCAGCATCAGCATCACCATCATCAGCATCCTCATCAGCATCATCAGCAGCATCGTCAGCATCATCCTCACCATCATCGCCAGCATCAGCATCATCATCCGCAGCAGCAGCATCGTCGGCATCATCATCATCATCATCATCATCATCATCATCATCATCATCATCCTCATCAACATCATCATCAACAGCATAATCCTCATCATCATCAGCAGCAGCATCAGCATCGGCAGCATCCGCTCTCTCATCCCCCTCACCATCATCATCAGCATCAGCGTCATCATTAGCAGCATCATCAGCAGCATCATCGTCAGATTCATCATTGGCATCATCATTATCATCATCACCCTCATCATCATCATCAGCAGCATCAGCATCATCATCATCACGATAATCAGCATCATCATCATCATCAGCAACAGCATCATTATCGTCGTCATCGTCATCGTCATCGTAAACATCGTCAATCATCCTCATCATTAGGAGCAGCCTCATCATTATCATCAGAATGATCATCATCATCATCAGCGTCATCACCAACACCATCACCAGCACCATCATCATCAAAATCACCATCACCGTCGCGATACGAATACTTGCAATCATACACATCATCATCATCATCATCATCATCAGCAGCAGCATCATCATCATGATCATCATCATCAGTAGAAGCAGCATCATCATACTCATCATACGCATCATCAGTATCGTCATCACCATCATCATTGTCATCATCAGCAGCATCACCATCATCATCAGCAGCAGCGTCATCATCAGCATCATCATCGTCAGCAGCAGCAGCATCAGCATTAGCATCAGCATCAGCATCTTCATCATCAACAACAACGAATTCTACATCTGCGACGACGCCGACACCGCCGACGACGCCGGTGCCAGCGCGGCACCGCCGACGCCGACGGCGTCGGTGTCGGCGTTTGCGTTGAACAAGGCGGACGAGAGGGGGGGGGAGCATTTGCGGTGGGTCCGCAGAGGCGGCTGGCTGTCTCTGAAGAGCCGCCAATGCAAACATGCAAACCTCCTTCGATTGGTTGATGTGCGGGAGGTCTTCTCTGGCCGAAGAACCGCGAAGGGGGAGGGAAGGGGGAATCAGCTGTGTGCAGCTGGTTCCCCATTCGACTCTGGGCGCCGAGGGCGACCATGCATCGACGACAGGGCATGGTGGCGGGGCCAAGACCAGCTGCGCATGGTGGACTTCGTACCCCCCCCCCCCGGGCCCGATCCCCCAGGTCTTCCGACCCGGGTGACTCTCGTCGTCTGGCCCTCAGGCTATAACTCAGGTTTATGTCGGGCGTGTCCCCCATACAGGGGGATTTTCGACGAAAAATCAAAATACTCGAAAAATACACCAAAAAGGTCAAAAAATACTCAAAAAATAGTCCCCCGACTACTTTTGGACTATGCTTTGACTATGTCTGGCGTATTTATCATAATTTGTTGTCGAAAATCCCCCTGTAGGGGAACAGGCCCGACTTAAACTCAGGTCTCCTGCGGCCGTTCGAGATGTCTCGGGCACCCTCCGAACGCCCTCGGCGAGACGCAGCTGCTGGAAAGCAGCACGAGGCTGGAAAGCCGCCGACAACCTGTGCACTGGAAGTGCATGTTGAAGTATGGATCGTGGCCATCCAAACCAAAAAAGCAGCCTGCATTGAGGCGAGAGCACGATTCCTGAACAAATGGTTGGGACGTCTCAGGCAAAACGGCTGTCGGACCAAGCGGTCTCGGGTTTTCACCGTCCACCCTTCGGGACTCTTCTGTGGTCTTTCTTACCACTTTGAGAGCCCTCTAGCGAAACGCTACGAGTGGAAAAAGCAGTCTCATGCTGTTCTGCGACTGCGGTTCCCCCTCCTCTTCCTCCTCAGGCCCCCGTACTCCTCCCCATCATGCTCTCCCCCTCCTCCAACTTGTCCGCCTCCTCCTTCTGCTCCTCAAACTGTTCCGCCTCGAGCTCCGAAAAATTATACTCATGCTCTCCTTCTCAATGTCAACTCAGCCTGGCCCCCTTCCTGTCCTCACTTGGATCACTGCCGGTGTTGCTGAGGGGATGGGGAGCTTCCTAAGAGACGACCAAGGTGGACTATATCAAGCGGCTTACGGGGGACAGAGATCTGGGCTAAGTGGGCGGAGACCCCTTAGCAGAGTTTCCTGACGCCTTGGAGCCGCCAGGGGGATCTGCAACCCACTTTGTAGCCAGGTCAGGCTAGATATAGCCCTCCTCGGAAACATCGCCCTCGAGTGGGCGATACCTCGCCGAGAGATCGGCGATAGGCCCCCGATCGTGACTCCGCACGTTCCTGGGCAGGTTGGGGCTCCTGGGCCCACATCGGCGATCAGTGGGCGCTGGGGGGTCGACGCACCCCCTCTTGTGCCCATCCCCCCCCATCGTCAGGTCGGGCACGTCCTCCTACAAAGAAAAATCAAGAATAGCCAGAAAATGTGCAAAAATAGTCCCAAGATAATCGAGCAAATCGTACCCTGACTACTTGTTTATGGCTATCTCCTTCCTGTGGGGAGACATGCCCGACTTAAGCCCACGCCTGTCCTTAGGTCGGGCCTGTCCCCCTACAGGGGGATCCTGGACGAAATGCCAAAAATAATCCAGACATGCCCCAAAATGGTCAAAACATGCTCCAAACATCGTCCCCAGACCATTTTTTTGTTGACCACTTTTTTGAGGGATGAAAAAACAACCCTACCCTGGGTTACAAGTACGTGGTCTGTCAACCTCCTGGGAACCGCCAGGACGCCGCACATCACGCAGGGTTTACCCTGTCAGCCCACAGGAGTTTCAGCGCACAGCGCCTCGTAAACCAGGGTAGGGGCGTTTTTTAAGCCCTGGACTTTTGAGCACCTCCCCCTACAGAGGCACAGGCCCGACTCAAGCCTACGCCTATCTTCCCCCTCCTCGCTGCCCCCGACGCCCCCCTCCGCCGCAGGAGGAAAAATAAGAGGAGAAGGAGGAGGAGGGGGGAGCAGAAAGAGCAGAAGGTGGAGGAGGAGGAAGAGGAGGAGAGGAAGTGGGAGAAAGAGGAGGACGAAGGAGGACGAGGAGGAGGAGGAGAAGGAGGAGGAGGCCCGACTCGAGCCTACGCCTATCCTTCCCCTCCTCGCTGCCCCCCACGCCCCCCTCCGCCGCGGGGCCCCGGCGGCCGCCGCCGCAGCCCCGCCGCGGGCGGGGAGCCGCCGCCCGCCGCCCGGCCGCCCGCCGCCCGCCGCCCGCCGCCCGCCGCCCGACGACGACGACGACGACGACGACGACGACGACGACGGCGACGACGGCGACGACGACGACGATGACGACGACGACGACGACGGCGACGACGACGACGGCGACGATGACGACGACGACGACGACGACGACGCGGGGCGCGCCCTCCTCAAGGGCGTGACGGGCTCGCCGCCGGCGGAGGTCGGCTTCGCCGCCGCGGGGGCGCCCGCCCTCGGGGACGCGTCCAACGGCCTCCCGGCGCGCGCCGCCGGCCGCATCGCCGCCGCCGCCCTCGGCGCCAGCGCCGGCGGCATCGGCGTCGTCGTTGTCGTCGGCGTCGTCGGCGTCGTCGGCGTCGGCGTCGTCGTCGTCGGCGGCGGCGTCGTCGGCGTCGGCGTCGGCGTCGGCGCCGTCGGCGTCGTCTCGTCGGCGGCGTTGGGGGCGTGTTGAGAAGCAGGGGCTGGCCCGCTGAATGGAGGGAGGAGGGAGGGAGGAGGGGAGGAGGCAAATGCGCTGGCACTGCGGCGAACTTGCCGTGACCACCGGGACAGGTCGAGGCACAGCTGAAGCCCATGGCAGACCAGATGATGCAGATACAGCAAATGATGGAGGCCATGATGATGCGAGACGCGGTGCGCACATCAGCGTCAGTGGCAGCGGCAGCAGGCCACTTCTCCGCGCCAGCGGCGCCACAGCCGCCATCACCACCGACTGCAGCTCCCAGCTCACCACCATCGTTGACGCCGACGCAGCCGTGTACCCCGATACCGATGGTGGAGTTCGCAGCGCAGGACACGACCGCGGGATGGATCACGGTGAGGGAGCGGGCTGCGGCATTCGAGAGCGGCTCCGAGGGCGGCCAGTTCTCGCTCGGGCCGCGGCAGCGCAGCAGTCAGAGGACGTCAGCATCGCGGAGTCCAAGCGTTCGTACCCAGAGAGCGAGAGCGCCAGGATCCTCCAGGCGGCCCGCCAACGACAAGGGCAAGTCGAGGACGGCGATGGCAGCTTTCCGCAAGCCACAGAAACGGACGGATGTCGAGGCGGTCGCCAAGTCAGCAGAGGATCACCGAGTACCGAGCAGCGACGCCACCCAGATGGATCCCTACGCGGAGACCGAGTACTGAGCCTACACGGCCATGAGGGGGTGTCGGATGGGGAGAGCCCGACACCCAACAACATGCATGTAGACTCTAGCGAGAATACACCGCCACCCCAGCGCTGCCGCGTTGAATTCGATAGGCCCAGGTCAAAGGTGGCATTCGCCACGACTGTGCCTTTTCACTTCTGCGATCCCTCCTCCGCCTCCTCCTCTCCTCCCCACGGTGGGTTGGGCAGTTCGGAGGCGCGGACCCCAGGTACTCTTGGGTGTTCGGGGGTTGGAGGTCACGCGGGCCCGCAGGTCCTTGACCTTGATAGTCGGACCCCGATCGAGGTCGCAATCGTGGGCGATGATCCTGCCGACTCGATCAGCTGCAAATTGGGACAGATAGGTTTGCTCACGCGCCTTCAACAAGAGGGATGCCAGATAGACCTTGAGTTAGATGTCAACAGAGAGGGCTTGCATGCCCACGCGCAGCTTGGCTTGGACATGTGCCCGACTAGCGAGCACGTCGCCGGCCAGATTTCAATCTTCGTCGACGGGTCCTTCGACGAACAGAACCCTAGCACAGCGGCCTGGGCGATGGCCGTGGTGGCCAAGGACAGAGCAGGAGCCTTTCTTTTCTGGGGGCTAGGACAGGGAAGGTTCTCTCATCCGTTGGCGTTTCTTTAGATACCGCTCGTTTTAGCAGCACTACGCCTGAGATGGGGGGCGTCCTCTGGGTGCTGCTTTGGATCGGGCTTCTGGGGCAGCACGAGGCTGATGGTTGTGTCATTGAGTCTGACTCTGCTTCTGCGATACAGATTGCTGAAGGATCTGCTCAATCCACCGCCCACCCCGAGTTTGGCACTTTGCTGCGCCACTTGGTCGTGGACCTGCGAGCGAGGTATGACCTCACGTTTCGCCATGTCCCGTCCCACAAGGCCCATCCATGGAACGAATTAGTGGATGGTCTCTCTAAGCGTAGGCGAACGGACTCCGAATCTCGCGACCCCGACTCGGCGAGGCTCTTGACCCCTGCGGTAGGAGATGCCTGGTCTTGGGTTACTGAGCTGGAAGCCGATCGCATCGCGTATCCCGAGATCACCGAATACGATGGTCAGGTCAGTTTCATTACTCCCGTGCGCACATACGCGACGGGATACCCACACCACTTTTTACCCCTTGGACAAGAAGGCGGGCTTGACCCCCCCCCCCAAGGAAATGGCTGGTGATCTCACTCTCAATGTTGCGACTTTAATGCGGTGTCCATGCTTGAGGATACCAAGAGGCAGCAGCGCAGACACAATGCTAAATTGGTCAGAAAGCAGTTTCACGAGCAGGGTATCCAGGTCCTTGGAATCCAGGAAGCGCGGACCCCTGAAGGGACCAGGACCGCCGACGGCTACTATATACTTGCCCCTGGAGGCGACGGGAAAAACTTCGACGTGGAGGCCTGCTTCTCGTTGACCCTTCCGTATATGACACACCGAGGCCACCCAAGGCACTTCCAGAAAAGCCATTTTCTTGTCACGCATAAGGATATCCGCAGGATCGTTGTGCAAGTCCGCGCGCCAGGACTTCATTTCAATTTCATGGTCCTGCGCGCCCCCTATCAGGACGCGCAGAGCAGGACCATCGACACTGGCGCTCTTCAGAGGTGGTGGGAGGAGACTACCGCGATCGCTCAGCGTATGTCGGTCGACGTCGTGTCTGTCGGTGCGAATGCGCGTGTCGGTAGCATATCGTCTACCGCTGCCGGGGTCGGAGGATGGGCGGAGGAAGAAAATGTCTCTGGCACCTGCTTTCGCCAGTTCATGTGCGAGCTAGGTCTCGTCGCCCCCTCTACCTTCTCTGATCCCAGTTGGAGCAGGGACACTGAGCCCAGCGGTTTCACCTTAGTGAAGAATGGCGCCTACCACAGGATCGATTACGTTCCTGTGAAACCTCACTTCGTGCCAGCCATCGTTATCGAACAAGTCTGGAGTGATCTCGATGATCTGACGGAGGTCAGTGATCACTTCCCTGTCGTGCTGGGAGCCCAGATCCTAGTTGCCGAAGCGAGGTGAGCAGGCCTAGATACAACCGTAAGTTGACCAAAGATCAGCATAGAGTCGCGATCTTTAAGTCACTCTTGTGTACCATCCCCTTGATGCCATGGTCGACTGACATCAACAAACGTTACAGCCAAGTCCAGGAGCAGATTCTTTGGGCGGCGGCTGCCGCTTTCCCTGTCCAGGAAGTCTACCCGAGGAAGCCCTACACTGATCAGCTTACTCTCTACTTCGTCAAGTGGAGACGAAAGAACAAGGCCGTCCTTCGTGCCGCCCCTGACAAAAGAGCCCAAGCGATGTACAACTGGGCCAACACTCTTGTTCTGCCATGTCCCAACCCTGTTTTTGAGTGCGGTGGGGAGGCGCACAGCCTCCTCATCTCCATTGAGGCCTGTCTGTGGGAGCTTAAGCTGTCTGCCTTGGCTTTCTTGGAGCTCTTGGACCTCGATTCTTGGGACGGGGCGCTTAGGGGCTTCCTCTCCGCCACGGCTGGATTGCTCAAAAAGAAATTGGACATTGACAAGACTGACACCTTTGAAAGGATGGTCAGCGAGATGAGTGAGGCCATCGAGGATGGAAATGCTAAAAAAGAATGGCAGGTCGCTGGATCCCTTCAGGCTTTCGGAGGACGCAGGATGAAACTTCAGAGTGGTGCTCCTCCCATCCGTAACGGGCCCGACGGACGTCCCCTTCAGACGAAAGCCGAGGTGGCTGATTCGGTTCAAGCTTATTTTGCTGGCATAGAAGGCGGGACCCTGTACACCGAAAGAGATCTTTGCGTCAAATATAGCGAAGATAATCGTGACCGCCCCCCCCCCCCTCCTTGAGCGCCCCGCTGAAAATCTGATGACTCGGGACCAACTTCGTTTCTCGTTCTCGCAGGCCACCACAGGCAAGGCTGGAGGACCTGATGACGTTGTTGATGACCTTTTGCGTTGCGCTCCCGCCGAGACTGCCCGCCTGGCCCACCCGGTCATCTCAAAGGCGGGCATGCACACTCAGGAGCCACTTGCTTTCAAGGGCGGGTGGGCTCATGACTTGTATAAGAACAGTGGCAACGCGGCGATGCACGAGAGCTACCGCCAAATACTTCTTATGAACAATGTTGCCATGCACCATCACAATTTTTTGAAGGATCAGTTTAAAACGTTAGTTGCGGGGCTTATGATTGAGACCCAGATGGGTGGGGCCCAGGGTAAGGGGACCGACATGGCGACCCATATGGCTCGCACTTTCTCGGCTGTGCCCTGTGCCAAGGGTCTCTCCACAGCGCTTGCTTTCATCGATTTGAAATCGGCTTTCTACAAGGTTATTCGACCCATCGCCATGCCTTTCCTTCTGGACCCCCAGGACATAGCTGACGCTATCGACGCCGCCGATATCCCCGTGACCCTGGTGCCGATCTTAGAGCACACCATTGCGCAACCTTCTGTCTTGGCGGGCCTCGACAATGTTCACATGTTAAGGATGCTGGCGGATCTTCACACCAGCACCTGGTTCGAAACCAAGGGGTCCCGAGGAGTTATTCGAACCACCACTGGCAGCCGTCCTGGTAGCTCGCCTGCTGACCTTGTTTTCAATATTCTCTTCGCGCCCATTGCGCGCGAAATTCGTGAGGAACTCAGCAGTGCCAACTACCTGCTTGAGCTTGACGGCCAGCAGGACCCACTCTTTTCTCTGCCCAAGGACGCCGAGACTGATTGTCTCGCGGACAGCACCTTTGTTGACGACCTCCGCGTCATGGCCGTGGTTCAATGTGCTGCCGACCTCCCCCAGGCGATATCTGACGTGGTCGTCACCATCAGCAACGCCACGGTCAAGAGGGGCATGACTATAAATTTCACACAAGGCAAGTCAGCGCTCCTTGTACACCCACGAGGTGCGGGAGCCCGCGCGGTCAAGGCCGATCTCTTCCCTGTTGCCGACCCTGCTTATGTCACCCACTATGATGATGAGATATTCCTCCAGCGATCACACAAGTACCTTGGTACCATGTTAGCCCAGAGCGGAAGCATCGCTCCCGAGTTAGCCCATCGCAGGACCCAGCAAAAGACGGGACCCGGACCTCTTCGTAGGACGATTCTCAAGGCCAAAAGGTTACCCATCAAGACTCGGGCCAGATATGTGGATGCTCTCTGTACTTCGAGATTGCTTTACAACGCCCACGTTTGGGGAGAGTTGTCTAGGGAGCAGCAGCAAGCGATGGTCGCCGCCCACTTGGCCCCTTTCAGGACCATCCTGGGGATACGACTCGGACGTCCCGACCAGCCGCATGTTGCCAACGAGCAGGTGTTGCTCGATGTCAACAGGCTCGCTGTTCCCGACATCCTGCGTCTCATGCGTCTTCGGTACTTGGCCAGGCTGATGACTTCGGCCCCGCCCTAGCTGCGGCAGCTCCTCGATATGGAAGGCCGCTGTAGGAAGTCTTGGAGCGCTCTCATCCGAGAGGATCTAGCGTGGCTGCAGAATGTCTACGATTTTTTTTTTTTTTTTTTTTTAAAAAAAAAAAAAAAAAAAAAAAAAAAAAAAAAAAAAAAAAAAAAAAAAAAAAAACTCTCTCTGCTCGCGAGCTCTTGTTGCAGGCATCTGCCGACCCAGCCCGCTGGAAAAGAATCTGCAGGACCGCAGCACGAAACTTTAAAACATGGCAAGCAGACCAGCATCGACTACAGTTGTGGAGAAAGGATTTGAATAACATATGTAAGGCTCACGCCATTCCGCCGCCTGATACTGCTCCGCTCCCTGAGCCTATCACGAAGTACGTTTGCGATACTTGCCAGTACGTGTGCTCCCATGAAGGAGCTATGTGCTCTCACATCACTAAGAAGCATGATGACCCTGCGGGCAGAATCGCTGAGACGGGTCTGTGCCTGGCTTGTGGAGTTGACTTTGTCACGCGTCCCCGCCTCCTCAAGCACCTGCGGCATGCTCGTACGGGCTGTCTCGAACTTTGGAGTCGTACCGTTGCTCCCCTTCCCGACGCGAGATACAGGGAGTTGCGCGAAGATGATCGCACCTTGGTGGCCTCTCTGAAGGCCAAGGGTATGCGCGCCACCGAGGCCGACATACCCGCCCGCCCAGAGGACCCTGGCGACGCCCTCCATTCTGCCCTGGATGGTCTCGGTCCTCCTCTGCTCCGCCCTACCTTCACCCCCGTCGTTTGGTTCCCCGAGGCCGAAGGGTTTGTCCCTCCGAGCCCCCGTAGGATTCAGCCCAGCGAAACAAGATACATTCTCCATTGCTTTAGCGGACAAAGACGGAGAGAAGATGTTCAGCACTGCGTAGAGCTGATTCAGTTTCTTGAGGCTCCCACTGGGCCTCTCGCCGTTCTCTCGATTGACATCGTCAATAATGATGTCGACGGCGACCTCAGGTCTCACAGTGCCCGCAACAAACTTCCTGCTTTCGTTTTCCAAGGTCTCGCCATAGGTGTGCTTGTCAGACCCCCTTGCGAGACCTGGTCGTCGGCTCGATTTCTAGAGGACCCCCAAGACCAGCGTTCTCGACCGCTTCGGTCTTTACAGCACGAATGGGGTCGACCTCTAGCCACTCCCAAAGAGTGGGCCCAGATCTCTACAGCGAATGATCTGTATCGTGCTGCGTTGTATTTCATGTACGTCTGTCTTGCCTCGGGTGCCTGCGGTATACTCGAGCACCCTGCTTGCCCGTTGAATCAGGTTGCTCCCACGAGTTGGTTTCTTAAGGAAACCAGCCACATGCGGACCTTGTCTTCGATGGGTTTCAATGCAGACACGATCTGGATAGACCAGTGTATGTTTGGTTCGCAATCGACGAAACCAACGATGCTCCTGACTGTGAATCTTCCCTCCGTGCGCAGAGAAGACCACATGATGCCGAACAGAGGACGCTGCAACCACGGAGGCCACGCTACCCTAGAGGGAGTCGATGACATTGGCCGCTGGAAGACCCAGGCTGCCAAGCAGTATCCTCCCGAGCTGTGCATGTTTCTGGCCCGACATTTTGTCACGTTCGCTTGTCAGGAGCTCAGAGAGAGGGGCGAGGTCCATCCGCGGAGCTGTGTTGACCTGACCCGTCACCCCCCTCTCGACCCATCTTTGGCGTGCTTCTTTTGCCCACTTGACCCGTATTGTGAGGCCCAGCAGGTCGGTGCCTAAGGTCAAGATTTCCAGTTGCAAGCGCGCCTTTCCCGAATTCACGTGCGGGCAGCGGATCATCGTCCCCTAATGCCGTCAAACAGAAACAGGAGGAGGCGGAGGAGGAGGAGGAGGGGGGAGAAGGGAGCAGCGGGGGGGAGGACTTGCGAAGGGGGGCGGAGGAAGGGAGGGGTTAGGAGGCAGCTCCTGGGCGAATTGACCACCCAGGAGCCGGCGCAAGCGCACCCCCAGAGCTGCCAGGGCCAGCCGTCCGGAAGGCATGCCAGGGCCGCCGGGGAGCGTCCTTCCAGCAGGCCCCGCCCGCCGATCGCACATCGAGTAGGGGATCGACTACAAAATTGCCTTACCCCCAAATTGATTTCCCCGTCGAGTCTACAAACATATGTGTAGCGTTCGTCGATCTACGAACAACATACGTACACTTGTTTGTAGATTCGGCGAGAGCGTCCATGTTGGGGGTGAACCAATGTGGGGGTCGATCCCCTACTCGAGCACAGCTCGCGCCGCTGAAGTTCCAACCGGGCGCCGTCGCCCAGGCGGGCGATGCGGCACGCCAGCGGCGTCGCGCCCTGCCGACGGGTGGGCCCACAGGGGGGCGTGCCGCGGGGAAGGCCGTCGGCCAGGCCCGCAGGGCCTCGAGCGCCGGAGGAGGGGGGAGAGGGGAGAAGGCCAGGAAGCAGAGGAGACTCCTCCTCCTCCTCCTCCTCCTCCTCCTCCTCCTCCTCCTCCTCCTCCTCCTCCTCCTCCTCCTCCTCCTCCTCCTCCTCCTCCTCCTCCTCCTCCTCCTCCAGGCCGAGGGGCGCTGCCAGGAGGCCCCCTGCGCTCCCCCCCCGCCCCCCCCCCCCCCCCGAGGGCGGCGCCGCGGGGCGGGCGGCCGCGCCTGGAGCTCCCGGACGAGGATCCCTGGCCGAGGGCGAGGGGGGCAGCGGACCCCCGAGCTCCGGCCCTGAGGCAGGAGGAAGCAACAGGGAGGTCCTCGTCGGAAGAGTGCAGGAGAAGTGAACCTCATGTGTCGGCGGTGGACGAACCTCCCTTCTAATGAACCACCCTTTCTAGTGAAAACGGCCCAGGACCGAAACCGACGGACCTGGACCCGCAAAAACGACGGCCGCGACGCCCTCTCGCGAACCGAGAACAGCCAATTCGCTAATCGACGTGTCAGGGTAGGAGGTCTAGCAATCTCCGAGTTTGGGGGGCTGCTACGCCGGATTAGGCTGCGCATTCATCCGGATGAAACCAGATGAAGCGAGATGCGGCCGGAATAAGCCCGATTTCGGACCAGGGCAAAGTCAGAATCTGACCTCCGAGGAGTTGCAGTCGAAACTCAGTATCGTTTAAACGACCCCTATCCCCCATATCGGGGGTTGCTCTGAAGGTGCCCCTGGCCCAAGGTGCCCCCAGCTTTGCGCCGAATTTTCTGGAGCCCCAAGGGCCCTCTGGGCCTCGTGAGGGGTGCTCTGGAGACCGCGAGGGCCCTCTTGGAAATCCTGGGGGCACCCTGGGCCGTGGCACTTCTAGCAACACCCGACCATCCCCATCCCCATGCAGACCCCACCGCTTCACCACCCCAGTTGGGGATGCACCCCTCGAAACCCGACGGGAGCAGCCCACATCCCCATCTGGGGGGGGGGGGAGCCGGTCAGTGGAGCCCAGGCCACGCCTTTGGGGGCAGGGAGTCGGAGAAACGATGATCTCCGACAATGCGGCTACTTAGAACCAGCCGTTTTTCCTCGGTCTCGGCTCTCGGAGGCCCCTGTCGGGCCCGGGGGCAGTCGCAGATGGATCCAGGCCGGAAAACTGCCTCCAGAGAAGCAGTCGGGACCCCTGGCTGACAGAAAACAAAAAACAAACAAAAAAAAAACGATGGATGTCAGTGCGAGCGGGAAGAGCGGCGGCTGGGCCACCCGCACGGTTGACCGGTGCTCCAGCATCTGCTCTGATCTTCCACCAGCTGTAACGACGCGCCCCTCCTCCTCCTCCTCCATCTCCTCCTCCTCCTCGTCCTCCTCCTCCTCCTCCTCCTCTTCCTCCTGCTCCTCCTGCTCCTCCTTCTTCTCCTCCTCCTCCTCGTCCTCCTCGTCCTACCTGAGCCTACGAGAGGAGCGGAGGCGCGGTTGCCATCGGGCCGTCAACACGGCGTCGACGGACCCGACGCGAACGCGGACAAACGGCGCGGGGATAGCGCAAGGAAAAGATTAGCGAATCAGCTGCATGCAGCTGGGTTTCCAGGCACCTCCCTTAAGCAGGAGTTGTGGGTCTGACGCAAATGGGTGCGCGGGGAGAGGTGAAACAGTGATTGCAACAGTGGGCGCCTGGATCCAACAGCTCGCGCGCTGGCTGCAGTAGTTGCACGTGGATGCAGTTGTGTATCTCTTCTCGGGTGCAACCGCTGTCGCACCAGTCGCACGTGTCATGGCTTGCGAGCCCCTCCCACGCATCAGTTGCACACTACTGCGCGCAGTAGTATACACAGCTAGTGCACGATGGCATACCCACCTCCCGCCGCCGATCCATCTGGAGACACGCAAAGGTACCGATGCCACTCCAGTCGGACCTGGGACAGAAGAACATGGTTCCAGAACACGAGACCCTCCGTCGGCCAAAGCACACAGAACATCCCCAGGGTACCCTCCCCCGGGTGCACAAGAAGCACCCTCCCCGAACCGACCTCGATCTTACACCTCGGTCCGACTGTACTCCACGGCCCTCTCCAGGGGTGCGTTCTGACCAGACATCCGAAGCGAAATGGGCGCGGTGCTGCCATGCGAGCGCAGCGACTGGGACCTTCGGTGGAGCTCCTGAAGGGGCCACGAAACGTATGAAGGAGGTGCCGAAATGGGCGCGGCGGTGCCATGCGAGCGCAGCCACTGAGGCCTTCGGTGGAGCTCCTTATGGGGCCACGAAACGTGTGAGAGGTGTGCCGAAATAGGTGCGGCACTGCCATGCGAGCGCAGCCACTGGGGCCTTCGTAGGAGCTCCCTTTGGGGTCACGACGTGTGAGGGGTGTGCCGAAATGCGTGTGGCGGTGCCATGCGAGCGCAGCCACTGGGGCCTTCGGTGGAGCTCCCGATGGGACCACGAAACGTGTGAGGGGTGTGCCGAAGTGGGGGAGGAGAGGAGGAGGGAGAGGATGCAAAACGAGGACCCAACACCTCGGGACGGTTTGGAAAGACAGTCCCCAGACCATTGTTTGACTATTCTTGCATACCCCTCCTGTAGAAGGGCATGCCCGACTTAAGCCTATGAGATACGGCAGCCAAAAACCGACCAGCCGTAACTGGGGGAGCTGTGGTCCTTACCCCCCTGGGCGAACCCATCGCATCGACGATCTCTCGAGAGGGGTGACGAAATCGATGGGTCCCCCCGGGGGGTAAGGACCACAGCTCCCCCAGTTGTGGCTGGCTTGAAAAATACTTACGGTCCGGACCCTTGGGCCCGATCTTCCTGTGGCCACTCTCGAGCCGGACCGAGCCCTGGAGGAGGGGCGAAGCCGCCCGGCGCATCAGTCATGTTGCCAGACCTCTTCCCCGCCCGCCCTGCCTCTGGGCCCCTGGCCTTTGTCTTTCCCTCGGCGGGGCCAATGATGCGAGGCGGGGACTTATCCATATATCCGCCGCCTGGGAACCGGCGTCCTGGTGCCCCAGCGGGCGGTGGGTATGGATATGTTTGGGCCCCCAGGGGCCCGAATGTATCCATATCCACCGCCTGCCGAGGTCCCCGAAATTGATCCTCCTCCTCCTCCTCCTCCTCCTCCTCCTCCTCCTCCTCCTCCTCCTCCTCCTCCTCCTCCTCCTCCTCTTGAGCTGCTTAGTCCAAGCCCGTGCACCGCTGCTGGTATAACGGAGGACTCTTGGCGACGAGCCTGTCGCAGCGAACCCCTGCCGGAGCCACGGGTGCTCCTGCCGACCCGCCCACGCATCCCCCTGGCTGCTCGGCCTCGCCAGGCCAGGCGGTGGCCACGTGTACAAACGCCCGCCCCGGAGATGAGCGCCGAGGTGCCGCAGCGCTCCCGGCGCACGTCGAGCGACGGAGAGGCGCGTGCCTCCGCCTCGCCCAGACCGCGCGCCCCTCGCGCGGCGGAGGCCCCTGCCTCCGCCTCGCCCGACGCCCAAATCTCAGGGGAGGGCTCGGCGGCAGCTCACGGGAGCCTCCCATGGCATCTTGCCCGCTCTTGCGAATCGACGCTGGATCGACGCCTGTCGGCGCTGCATCGGCGCCGACCGACGCTGGCCGACGCTCAGTCGGCGCTATGCCATCGACTCCCAGACGCTAGTCGACGCGAGTGGACGCTAACAACGGAATCGCGAAAGGTGCACCAGGCTCCCATGAGTTGCCACCGACGGAGGGCGAGGGAGTGCGAGAAAGAGCCGACCTCCCTGACCCGAATCCCTCCATGTACCCTGCCGCACGGCCGAGGCCCTGCCAGAGCAGGGGCCTCGCAGTTGGGGCAGGAGTGGATGGGGTCGGAGGGACGCGCCGCATCGTCGATGCTCACCAGGCGACGCCGGCGACGCATCGGCAACGTTGGTGTGGAGAGCAGCGAACTCCACCTCGCCGCCGCATCGCCGATGCATCGGCGATGCGGCGCGACCCTCCCGATCCCAGCTACTCGGACCCCAGCAGGGAGGCCTAGACAGAGGGGACCCCTGAGAAGCCTCCTCCTCCTCCTCCTCCTCCTCCTCCTCCTCCTCCTCCTCCTCCTCCTCCTCCTCCTCCTCCTCCTCCTCCTCCTCCTCCTCCTCCTCCTCCTCCTCCTCCTCCTCCTCCTCCTCCTCCTCCTTCCTTGGCCCCCTCGTGCTCCGAGCTGCGCCCTCACCTGCAAGGGGCGCCGAGGCAGGCGCCCGAGCCCCTGTCGGGAGGCCCACGGCGGCAGCGGCCCCGGGGCTCTCGCTGCACGCTCCCCCTCCTCGCCTCCGCATCCCCTCCCCTCGGCGGCGAGCAGAAGTGGTGGATGCCAACAGGCACTCAAAGCTACAGGGAGGAGGGATGGAAGAGGGGAGGGGAGATGACGGTGCGCTATAGCGCGCAGGAGTGAGGAGAGAGCAGCGAGCACTCAAACCTGCAGGGAGGAGGGATGGACGAGGGGCACGGAGGTGACGGCGCTGTATCTGTGTGGCTTGTCGGGTCCCGAGGGGGGCTCCCGCTCGAGCGGGGCCCCCCCATCCGACCACACATACGCACACACACACACACACAAACCCATGGAATTCCACTCCGAGAGATCTGAGGGATCGCATAGGATGTGGGTGCTGGCTGCCAGCTCATGAGGAAGGAGGGTCAGGACGAGAAGGGGGGGGCCTCTAAAGCGGAGTTCCCCCGTCTCTCTTTTTCTCAAGGCCGACGTGTCAGTGCAGAAGAGGCGGGCTGCAAGACCGGGCAAGAGATGCAAGGATGGAGGAGCGAGGAGGAACAATAGAGGAAACACTCACCTCAGGCGAAATGAATGCTACAATCCTCTCCGTAGACTGCGAGGTACGCCCTCGAGAAAATATTCGCTGCAGAAAACTAGACGCACCCCTATGTGATAGCAACACCGGGACTCAGGATACCTGCGAGCGCGACGGCGAACGACGACGCGCTTGCAATCCGAGTCAGTTCGCCTGACCTCGCCCAGATGCTTGATAGAAAAGATTGTGACCAAAGGTCCAAGCCTCACTGGCCACTGACCTCAAACTCATGTCAGGCATGAGCTGACTTCAAGTTGCTCTCGATGCGTCCAGTCTCTGGACTCTCGAAACACATCCTGAGCTGCTCGACGAGCCACGTGTGGTCAACATCTCTACCGATAAAAACTGCCCTGCTCTCCCGGCCTGTATCCGATGGCCAAGGGCCCTGGGGCACACCACCGAAGTGGCAGTTCACAGCATGGAAGATGTAGCGTTCCTCGATACCCTTCACGTCCA